CTATGGCGGCGGCTGTGGAAGGGCGTCTCGCTCAGTTCCGCGCTGCCCGCAGCGGCGTTGTCGCCGTTCNAAAAAATTCTGTGGAGAGAAGTGGAAAAAGCTGTTTATTTAACAGAAAATTGAGTAATATTAAATAATAAAATTATTAAATAATAAAACTTCTTGCTGTTCGATGGGATGGTAAGTCTAGGAAGAAAGGTCTTTTTTCATGTGGTGCAGCTCGGCTCGCTCAGGTTCTTATCAGTCCCTCTGGCGCTGGAAAAGTGCCGAGGCCCAGGCCCCGGTGGGCCACAGGCGTGAGCTCCCGGGGTTTGGCTGGGTGTTCAGTCTAGAGCAGGCTTGCACAGATCTAAGAAAATTGAAAAAAACAAGGGTCCAGGGAACTCCTCTGCTTCAGCTAGCTAAAACTAACTAAAAGTCAGAGAGAAGCTCTGTCCCGCTGTCTGTCCGTGCTGCAGACACCACAGTTCAGGAGCGGGGTGCGTGGGAGTGATGTTTTCCTTAACACACTGCGCGCTTCTTCTTTCTCCTCTCTTGCTTTCAAAGACAGTCTTAAAGGTGCAGGACTTAATATATAACATAAACCAGACGATTGGGGATACCAGTATCATAAAGTCACCCTAGGACATTCCACCTCTTATCCCCATATCGTCAACTTATTATCAAAATCAATATATATATATATATATTTTAACTTTACAACACATACATTATATACAGACAAGGGCATTTATTCATAATTTTCACTCAACCATCAGATCTCTCTGAGGTACACATTGTGTTGTTCCATCTTTCTTCATTATCTACCATGTGCAACTCGGTCTTTGAGCAAAAACAACTTCACGAATGGGTTTGTCTGTACTCGAAGTAGAATTGATCTAAACTGTCTTTCTTAACAAACCTCTGAGATGTACTGCTGGGACCTTGTCTCCATCTACTTTATGCAGGGGCTCGGATTGGGCTGGGCTTGCTCGATTGGTGGAACTTCGGGTGTTAACTATCTAGGTGGCTTTTGCTAGATGCTGCTCTTAATTTTTGAAAGATTCCTTACCTAACGCTTTTAAGGTAGTCTTTAACAGTCCATTGTACTTCTCTACTTTTTTCGCAGTAGGTGTATGGTAAGGGATATGGTACACTTACTCAATGCCATGTTCTCTAGCTCAGCTGTTTATAAGGCTGTTCTTGAAATGAGTCTCATTGTCTGACTCAATCTTCTCAGGGGTACCATGCCTCTAAAGGACCTGCTTTTCAAGTCCCAGGATGGTGTTACGTGCTGTAGCATGAGGCACAGGGTAGGTTTCCAACCATCTAGTGGTGGCTTCTACCATTGTGAGCACGTAGCGCTTGCCTTGGCGGGTTTGGGGCAGTGTGATGTAGTCAATCTGCCAGGCTTCCCCATATTTATATTTGGACCAACGCTCACCGTACTATAGCGGCTTCAACCGCTTGGCCTGTTTGATTGTGGCACACGTCTTACAGTCATGGATAACCTGAGAAATACTGTCTATGGTTAGATCCACTCTTCGGTCTCGTGCCCACTTATAGGTGGCATCTCTACTCTGATGGCCTGAGGCGTCATGGGCTCATCGAGCTAGGAACAACTCTCTCTTGTGTTGCCAATCTAAGTCTATCTTTGACACTTCTATCTTTGCAGCTTGATCTACCTGCTCATTGTTTAGGTGTTCTTCATTAGCCCTGCTCTTGGGGACATGGGCATCTACATGACGGACTCTCACAGACAGTTTCTCTACTCTGGTGGCGATGTCTTTCCATTTATCAGCAGCCCAGATTGGCTTTCTTCTGCGTTGCCAGTTGGCCCTTTTCTACTTTTCCAGCCATCCCCACAGAGCATTGGCTACCATCCATGAATCCGTGTAGAGGTAGAGCTTTGGCCACTTCTCTCTTTCAGCAATGTCCAGGGCCAGTTGAACAGCTTTGAGTTCAGCAAGTTGGTTTGATCCACCTTCTCTTTCAGTGGCTTCTGCGACTTGTCGTGTGGGGCTCCATACGGCTGCTTTCTACTTCCGGTTCATCCTTACGACTCGACAGGAACTATCAGTAAACAGAGCGTAGCGTGTTTCTTCTGCTGGCAGTTGGTTGTACGGTGGAGCTTCTTCAGCCCGTGTCACTTGTTCTTGCTCTTCTTCATCAGTGAGACTAAAGTTTTCACTTTCTGGCTAGTTTGTAATTATCTTCAAAATCTCAGGGCGATTTGGGTTTCTAATACGGGCGCGCTGCGTGATGAGGGCGATCCACTTGCTCTATGTAGCGTCAGTGGCGTGGTGGGTAGTAGGAACCTTTCTTTTAAACATCTACCTTAGCACTGGCAGTCGGGGTGCCAGGAGGAGTTGTGCTTCTGTGCCAATTACTTCTGAGGCGGCTTGAACTCCTTCATAGGCTGCTAAAATTTCCTTTTCTGTGGGAGTGTAGTTGGTTTTAGACTCTCTGTAACTTCGGCTCTAGAATTCCAGTGGTCGGCCTCGAGTCTCTCTAGGCACTTTTTGCTAAAGGCTCCAGGACAGACCGTGGCTCCCGGCTGCAGAGTAGAGCACGTTCTTCACATCTGGTTCTGTTCTGACTGGGCCAAGGGCTACTGCATGAGCGATCTCTTGTTTGATCTGAGTAAAGGCTTGTTGTTGTTCAGGGCCCCACTGGAAAGTGTTCTTTTTGCGGGTGACCAGGTAAAGAGGGCTCACAATCTGGCTGTACTCAGGAATGTGCATCCTCCAAAAACCTATTGCACCTAGGAAAGCCTGCGTTTCCTTCTTGCTAGTGGGTGGAGACATTGCTGTGATCTTATTGACGACCTCAGTGGGAATCTGACGCCGTCCATCTTGCCACTTTACCCCCAGGAACTGAATCTCACGAGCTGGTCCCTTAACTTTGCTCTTCTTGATGGCAAAACCGGCTTTCAGGAGAACCTGGATGATTTTCTCTCCTTTCTCAAAGACCTCTTCAGCTGTTTTTCCCCAAACAATGATGTCATCAATGTACTGCAGATGTTCTGGAGCCTCACCCTTTTCCAGGGCAGCCTGGATCAGTCCATGGCAAATGGTGGGGCTGTGCTTCCACCCCTGGGGCAGTCGGTTCCAGGTGTACTGCACTCCCCTCCACGTGAAGGCAAACTGAGGCCTGCATTCTGCTGCCAGGGGAATGGAGAAAAATGCATTAGCAATATCAATTGTGGCGTACCACTTCGCTGCCTTGGACTCCAGCTCGTACTGGAGCTCTAACATATCCGGCACAGCAGCGCTCAGAGGTGGAGTCACTTCATTCAATGCACGATAGTCCACAGTCAATCTCCATTCTCCTGCAGATTTACGCACAGGCCAGATGGGGCTGTTGAAGGGTGAGTGGGTTTTGCTGACCACCCCTTGGCTCTCTAGTTCTCGGATCATCTTGTGGATGGGGATCACAGCATCTCGATTTGTCCTATACTGTCGGCGGTGCACCGTCGAGGTGGCAATTGGTACTCGCTGTTCTTCCACCTTCAGGAGTCTTACTGCAGATGGGTTCTCTGATAGTCCAGGCAAGGTGTTCAATTGCTTGATGCTCTCTGTCTCTATAGCTGCTATCTCAAATGCCCACCTAAGCCCTTTTGGGTCCTTAAAATACCCGCTTCGGAGGTAGTCTATGCCTAAAATGCAGGGGGCCTCTGGGCCAGTCACAATGGGGTGCTTCTTCCACTCATTTCCAGTCAGGCTCACATCAGCTTCCACTAAAGTAAAATCCTGTGATCCCCCTGTCACACCAGCAATAGAAACAGATTCTGCCCCTACATATCTTGATGGGATTAGGGTACACTGTGCACCAGTGTCAACCAAGGCCTCATATTTTCGTGGTTCTGATGTGCCAGGCCAACGAATCCACACAGTCCAAAAGACACGGTTTTCCCTAGCCTCTACCTGGCTAGAGGCAGGGCCCCTCTAAACTTGGTTATNATGTAGGAGAGAAAGAAAGCGAGAGTACGAATACCCTCTCCGTTTCTGTAGCTCAGAGGTATTCTGGGACTGGAAAAAACAAAGTTACAAACTTGCATGCTGGAAAGAAGGGTCTCTGTGCTATCACCCCCGCGCTTTCCAGGGTAAACAGACTCCAAACATCTAGAAATTCTAGCAGGGTCCTCTTTTCACTCTATCCTGCCTCTCACCGAGGAGCTGAGGAGAAAAACTTCAGTAACCATGGTAACCTGCCTCCCGGTAAGAGCTGGGAGGAAAAGAGACGGGGGAGGGGAAATCACAACTAAAAGAGGGGAAAAGATACATTTCAAGCTATCAGCTACTAACATAAACTAACTTAACAACATTCTAACAACTTTACTATTACAGTCTTCCACCGGGTTTGCTGCATTTAGAGATCATCTGCACACAGATATCTTTGTGCCACACTTCTCAGGACCCGTTCCCAGAGATTATAAGGGTCAGTCCCCCTCATCATTCCTTGGTCAATAACCGAATCGTGTGACAGGGACCCCAGATGCCTCGCTTCAGTACCGTCCAGATCAGGTCATCTAGTGTAATCCTTTCTTAGGCCACAAAGGTCCTTCAGGGAGAAGGGCTCACCAGCGACTTCTGATTTTGTGTCAGTTGCTGGTCTTGAGGGTCCTTCTCCCGCATCACCATTATCATCATCTACTGGCCGATCGGTTTTGGTTTTGAATTTCATGCCTCTCGTGGCAGGAGCAACAGACACTGGCTTAGGCTCACTGTCTGGTTTGGCTGCTGGCTTAGGCTCACTGTCTGGTTTGGCTGCTGGCTTGGCTGCAGCCTGACTGTCTGGGGTAGCTGCTGATTTATCTCCTTGTCTTACAGTATCTAGCAGCGTGCAATAAGCATATGCTCGGGCCCAGCTTATTGCAATGAGATTTTTCTCCTTAGAATCATCACAGCAATTCTCTTCCAGATATTTCCCTACTTCATCTGGGTTCTGAATTTGTTCACATGAAAATTCCCAGGCTGGGGGATGAGAAAAATTTCTTCAGACTCTGGCCCATTCTCTCCCATAATCTACACCATGCAGGATTTCCTACACCTGAGTCTACTTCTGGGGCAGGGGTCTCATTGGCTCCTCTGTATATCTCAGCCCTCACTCTAGAGAAGTTGCAGACCATACAGAGGAAGCTTAACAGCTGAACTACCAGGAAAGTGGTATACTTAACACTCAGGAGAAACTGGATATTCCCAGAAAGAGACATAATAGATTGGAAGGAGAAAAAGGAAAGGAAAGGCTGAAAAGCCTCATCCCCTCCTCTTCCTCTGACAAACTGGGTGCAATTACCAATAAATCCCCAAAATGTGCTGCTGGGACCAGGAGGCAGGGTCGGACCAAGAAACCATAAGCCAAACACACCTGGCAGAAACTTCAGTACTTTTATGAACATCCTATAAATCATTATCACCAAGCCCAGCACAATAACTATTCTAATCCGTGCCCCTCTACAGCAAAAGAGGTAAAAGAAAGGTATTAAAACCTCAAAAAAGTCTAGGGACCAGATCCACATGAAGGCCTCCACCCCAAGAGACATTATGCATTTAAGCAACATGGCTACTGACTGCTTTATCCCAATACAAAGTACAACCAAAATACAATTAGTAATTAGTACAGGTTTTTCCACTTTCTCAGCCTTGCTTTGGGTGCCAAGAACTGTATATATATCCTAGTTTAGGGCAAATTTGGGAGAGAACCTCTAAATGGGGGTCCCCCAGGGAAGCAAAACCCAAATGACCCATCCCCCCCACTGGTTCATCCCCCAGGGAAGCAAAACCCAAATGACCCATCCCCCCCACTGGTTCAGGAAAGAAGAGATTTCTTTGGAGAGAAGTGGAAAAAATTGTTTATTTTAACAGAAATTCAGTCCAAAGCAGGTTTGCACAGATCCAAGAAAAAAGGAAAAAAAGTCCAGGGAACTCCTCTGCCTCAGCTAGCTAAAACTGACTAAAAGCCAAAGATAAGCTCTGTCCCGCTGTCTCTCCGTGCTGCAGGCACCACAGTCCAGGAGCAGGATGTGGGGGAGTGATGTTTTCTTTCAATACAAACTGCGTGCTTCTTCTTCCCCTGCTTCTCTCTCAGAGCCAGTCCATAAACTAGGCAACTGGGGATACCAGTATCATAAAGTCACGCTAGGACTATCAGTCTTATTTTAAATGTGAATTTAAAGATTTCATCACAAGGCAAAAAAACAAAAAAACCCTGCAAAATCTTATTTCTACACTTTCTAAGTCAATAATTGGCAATATGTCCTCTGTTCTATCCTTACAGTATCTTGTTTTACATAGTTATTGTGAAGTCATATTAATTAGGTTCTTTGAAATTTGGTGAAAAATATATTAAAAAGATTGTATTTTAAAAAATATTTACTTGGAACCAAGTGTGCATAAATTTATTGAGAAACAATTAAGAATACATGATGGTATTTAAAATGAAGTAAATTAACACCTCTTATTAGAAAATCGTGTATAAACATACAGAATTTTTGAATTATGCAGGACAGAAAAACAGAATTCAGCATTCAGATAAGATTGAGTTCCTTTAATTGCTTTAACATCTATTTTTCAAACCTGTATAAACCACAGTCTTTTTTCATTTGCATATCTCTTCCATAGTCTCTGTAATGGAAGAATATAAATACAAAACTATATATGTACTAATTTCTGTTTTTCTTGTTGTGTTTCACTGAGCTGTGTTTTTTTATTATTTATATTTATACCCACTTCAAATCCTTTTCTTAAGTACTGTAGCTTGTCCAACCAAAATATAGGAAACATCAGTTTGCTCATTGACATTGGTGTTAATACTGTCCATACTTTCATAACTTGTTTACCCACAGACTGTATTTATTCAAAAGGACTGGAAATTGTTGCTTGAACGGTGTTCTGATTGTTTATACCAACATTTCACATAGTTCTCCATTTCTCAGTGGTGAAAAAAAATCAGTGCAAAAAGGAACGGGGGCCCTCTTTGCTTCTTAAACTGTCATGATTTATAGCATATCAGCTTGTGCCCTGAGAGGTCAAGAAATGAAGAGACAAAGAAGGAAGTCAAGACGATGAGGAACGCCAACACGTTCCAATAGCTTGCGCAAACTACGCACTTCTCTGTTGCCTCTATGCTTCATCATTCTTTTCCAAACACTGCCAATTTATCTGTCCTAAGACTTTTTATAAGCTCTTCCTTCCCCTCCTCTCTCAAAAGTAACCACAGGTATACCAAGAGGGGTTCTGTTCTCTGGCTTTTATAGCTTATGATGTGAAGTTTGAACTAAACAAGTATTACCTATCTCTCCAAGTGGACTAAGTATGGTTCTACTGATTATGATGTCTTTATATATTTGATGCTTCACAAGCTATATAAAGAAAACCATATGAACCTTCACTGCAGACAATTTTCAGTTCATATTTTTTCAATTTTCAGAACCATAAATTATTATATAATTTTAATAATTTGAGACCCTAAGGAATCCTGAATTGAGTGTATCACATTACTTTTGAGGAACAATCATAGAGTCTGGAACACACATTCTTACTATTTATTTAGCCTCATGTTTAAAGTATCAGTGGTTCTGTGACCCAGCAATCACACTGATGTCCACTGATTTGATTCCTGAGCATTCTGGCAAGCTAATGTAATCATCTTAACCAATCATCTTCAATATATGCTATCCTGTCTTAGTTGTGTTCTGCCTAAATCTTTCCAAAGAGCTTACATCCTTGTAGTTATGTCCCAAGATTTTCTGTTTAGTCAAGGGAAAGTATCCTCACAATTTTTGAATAGATTCTGAACTGTGTCTGAGTGTCACAGTTTTAACATATCACCCTAACAGCTCAGATTGAAATGAGGCACATTATGTTTACTTCTCAAGAAAACTATATACAAGAAAACTTGTCTGAATTAAATAATTGAATACTTTGAGCAATTTGTCTTTATTATAATTGAATACTTTGAGCAATTTGTCTTTATTATATAAATGTCAATACCAAAAATTAATTCTGTTCCAAATAATCCTTCTCTCAGATTGTTCCACATAATTATTCTTTTCCCCCTGATATCTGCTGTCACAGCAGCCTTTGAGATGCAAAAGACAGGATCACTGGGAGGGCAGAAATACAAGAAAAGAAAGGGCAGTTCATAGCATCAGAAGCAGTGCCCTGATGTAAACACCATGCCCTTACACAGTGCAACCTTTCAATTTGGAAACCAGTCCCCAGGCAAGTGGAAAGTGTTTATACAGCTGGTACAGGGGAAACATCTAGAGGGACAAGAGCTAAGTTGATAATCTGGCAGCAAGAGTGGCACAAATTTGCTGAGACACTGGAATTCTTTTTGAATAGGAAGCATGGAAGGTGACACTAAATGAGGGAGAGTTTGGCCTGATACCCACTAGACATGAAAAGTAATCTGTGATGCAAATATGGTGTTGGCTTTGAGAACTAGCTCAAGGCAGCTCAATACTCCTGCTAGTTCAGCTGCTTGAGATGCAGGAATAGCTTCTGCTCTGCCAAGTTATCTGTCTTGATGCTATGGATCAATGAAATTGTCATCCTATATTCTCCTTTCTGTTTCACCATAACTAGTCTTTCTCTGGGTAAAGCAAGGATATCTCTGCATGTGGTGACAAGACAGGTTTTTGTTAGAAATTAGGCAGACAGATAATTTTCAAAGGAAACATAAGATGTACACTTGTATACTTACAGATTTATTTCTAATACCTGCGGACACAAATGGTTGTAAAACTGTGGCTACCAAGTAGCAGAGGAAAAGGGCACATTTTTTAATCTTATACTTTGACTAGTAAGAGTGGCTGCCCACCACTGAGAATACTGTGTGCCATGCTTATCTGCTTGCAGTTTCAAGAGAATAATACTTCTGTGGTTAACATTTAAGACTCCAGTCATTCCTTTTCTTGCAATTATTCAAATGGTGACATACATCCTGAATGAAGATGCAAGTTATGTTCTTACTAGTGATAGGACATGCACTCCTCTGATTTTGTGGTCTCCTCAGCACCTCTCCAACACTACTGTATGCAATACATTGCACCTCCTATGCATATGAAAAGCTTCAGTGGTCAGTGGTGTAAGGATCCCTTTGACACAATCTAAAACTCTTTAGTTTAAGGACAGATCTAATGTAAGATCTAATATCGGTGACTGAGACAGGGACATCCAAGTTGAGATCAGAAGCCCATTTGATTGATTATATGAGGCATTTATATTGGGTTTTACTTGTATGGCACTTTTATAGGGTTCTATTTTGGTAACAGTTTTCCATTGATTACACATTCTTTATTACATCAGTTATGTTACATAACTGTAATTAGAACATAACATGTTATAGTTATATTACATCTCGCAATCATTATGAAGTTTCACAATATGTATCTTGGTCACTTCTACCCCAGGGAGTAGTTAATCTGTGTCTGTCTCTCCCATGGTTTCTGTTTGATTATCCCAAAGATACTAGGCTCCTTTATCAGTTCCATTGTGCTCTCATAATGTAATATAATGTAATAATATTACATAATTCCTCATAATGTAATATTTTTTCTCTTTAGGAAAGTAAGACTAACTGGAGTTATCTGTTCCTGCAAGCTTTTTCTCTCAAAAGCTTTTTAATTTATTAATATTTGTAAGCATAACTATTATAAGGAGCATTGTTTTTAGCCACCATATTTTTTTCAACCATAATTTCTTACTGATATATTTATAGTCTTCCTTACAAAGACTAAGTGATATTTCAGATCTCATGTCTTTTACTATAGAAACGTGTCATTTGAATACACTGTATGACCTTGTGTTACAGAAGGCTCAGGTCCTTTGTATGGCTTCATTTTGTGGGGCAGTCTAGGGAGCATGATGGCAGTGCAAAGAGGTGTGTAATATTAATTTTATCCATATTGTGGAGAAGGAAGTTTTTGCTTAAGGATGCAATCTGCCTGTAGTTGGGTGCTGGTTTTTACTCCTTTAGGATTTTGTCAAATAATCAGAAAGACTTTTCTCGTAAGCAGGGAGAAAGTCAAACTGTTGATGCATCTCTAAGGTCACTCCTGTGTTACTGTTATGAACCAGTTAAACTCAGAACACAGAAGGAAACAAAAGCTCTGTGAGAAAAATGTATTGAACACAGAAAGGTTCAAATATACCCCAAAAACATTATTAAAACCAAATGAGATGGTTGGTGCCAGAAGAAAGTGGTATTTTTTATTTAATAGTGAAAAAGGCGAAGGGAAAGAAAGGGAAAAGAAAGACAGAAAGAAATAGAAAAAGAGGTGCTCATGGGGGGATGGGAACACGGGGAGAGAATGACAGGCATTATCACCCTTCTGAGGATCCCAAAGACATCTCGTTGCTCCCCTCTATCTAGCCTTCTTGGTGGTGAGGGTCCCCTGAAGCCCACCACTGGGCAAGAGCAAAAGCAAGAACAAGAGCAAAAAAGGCTTAAAACTTAAAAGAAACAAAGTTTATTAACAAGAACTACAAGAAACCAGAATAAAACCTCCAGAAACCCTTTTTGCTCCCACTACCCAACCATTCTTTTGTTCACATGACAACACAGAGACAAAAAACCTGGTGGTTAGAAGAGTCTCAATTTTTCTATAGTCTTTTTATCTGTCTTTGTAGAGAAAAAGCAGCTCTTTTCTACTAATCTAGGGTGTTTTTTCACAAGAAAACCATTTTCTTCATGGCTTTCTATCTCTCTGATGCCAGCTGCCTGGAAATTCTGCCATCAGTTCTCTCCTCATATTTCACATCACTCTGAGGTGTGTTATAGGTCCATGAGTCAAGATGGGGTGTCATTTTTAAGGATGAGTTATTTAAAGGCAAAAATTCTCTTCATCTGTTTTTGTGAGCCTCTCTGGAAACAGAAGTTTTCTCTTTGCCTCTTAAATGCCACAAATCTTCAACTATTACTTACCTTTTTCTGTTCCAGCATCTCATAGGATCACAACTACTTCACCATTTGCTTAAATCTACACTTCAAAATACTCTATTCCCCCAAAATGCTCTGTCATGAATTAAAGGAGTCTTTTTCAGAACATAATTATCCATCTCCATAGCTTTAAAAGAAAAATATTTCAGCTTATTAAAGCATCTCCTTGTTTCTCTTCCCCCTCTGAAGCTTAATTAATTTCTTCACTGTGTTTGATAGTTTATGGTGTCTCATTACATGTTGATCACTCTCTCTCTCTTCCTCTCTCTGGAAAATGGATTAATCTGAAAGTCTCACCTGGGTAATGAAAGGGTTAAAGTCTTGTCTAGGCCTTGTGGCTGGTTCTTTGATCTCTGCTGGAGCAGTGGCTGGAGCTGTCTGGGATGGTCTCTCCTTACTTGGCAGTCTCTGGTGAAATGCAGCAGCGGCAGAAACTGCAGCTGAGCTGGGGAACCAGCCTGGCCCAACCAGCCCCGCTTCCCCCAACCCCCAAACTCCACGGCCTTGTTCGGCCTGGTGGTGGGGGGGAAGGAGGCTGAACCAGAGCTCTGCTACCTCTTCAGAAGCTGGAAACCAAAGAGAGAGAGAAAGTCTCAGACTTAGGGCTTAAGGTGGTGTTCACAGGTTGATCTCACTTTTCAATGGTCAAAACTGCTGTCAATTCTCAGAAATGGCCAGTTATTAGCCAGGAGAAAAACTCCCATCAGCCTCCAGCAGTTTCAACTTCCCTATCTCTCAAAGCCAGTCTTAAAGGTGCAGAACTTAATATATAACATAAACCAGGCGATTGGAGATACCAGTATCATAAAGTCACCCCAGAACAGCCCACCATTCCAGAACACCAAGAGAGCCCAACATCAGTTCCGGAGGTTCTTCCTCATATGAAAAAGATTCCACATGCTCAAAGGTTCAGGTAGGAACCTGGCAACAGCTGTTGAATGTGTTGTCCATTAACTTTCCTGATGAAGCTATTTATAAAATTCCATCAGGGAATTGCACCATGCAATGGCCCTTGAGATATTTTAATTACTGGGGACTCCATCAGTGGGCCAGAACAAATAAACATTTTACCAGAAATTGTGACTGTGACTCTAGGGGACAAGATTTTCATCCCTGTCTCCTGTGTTGACTCACCATACCAACTGCCTCAGGGTCAACCTATTGCTAAAACATTTTCACTGGCTCATGAATACTCAGAAGAGTCCCCCTCAATCCCACCGCAATATGGATTGTGGGTGACAACAAACCCATGTTAGAGTGTGGCCTGTTCTGTCATGGAGAAAAGATCTCCCGTCTAGGGGTGATAGACACTGGAGCAGATGTCACAATCATTGCCTGGTCTGAATGGCCATCTACCCGGGAGTGGCTTGTATGATCTTGGGGACTGGGGATGTTGCAATTTCTATGCATAGCGTATACAATGTTAATGTTGAAGGTCCTGAGGACAAAATGGCAACCATCTGACCATTTGGGGTGAGGGCCCCTATCATCTCGTGTGGTAGAAATCTGTTGTCCCAGTGGGGGACTTCCATGCATATTTCCTGCTGGGATTTTTAGCTGGGGCCATTGTAAAGCATGCAAACCCCACCACTCCTCAACTCACCTGTAAACAAGACCATCCAATGTGGGTTGACCAGTGGCCCCTTCGCAATAAAAAATTGCATGCTTTGGAAGCCCTCATGGGGGAGCAACTTACCAAGGGTCACATCACTGAGACCAACAGCCCTTGGAATTCCCCTATCTTTGTCTTGAATAAACTTAGCAAGGGTAGGTGGAGGCTCCTCCATGACCTCCACAAGATCAATGAGGCCATTGAGGACATGAGGTCTCTGCAACCTGGCTTGCCTTCACCCACAATGCTGCCCCAGGACTGGAAGATAGCAGTAACTGACATCAGAAGGACTGCTTCTTCAACATTCCACTCCATCCCTGAGATACCCCCAGGTTCACCTTCTCTGTCCCTTCCCCAAACAGACAGGTGCCTCTGAAAAGGCTGGTTCTTCTGCAAGGAATTAAAAGCTCTCCAATTATATTCCAGTGGTACATCGCCTACATCCTTTCCCCTCCGAGGAAAGTGTTCCCTGGGGCACTTATATACCATCACATGGATGACATCCTTGCCTGTGCACCACAGGCTTATCTAGACGCCACACTAAGGAAGACTATCCAAACCATCAAAGAGGCAGGCTTCGAGATTCACAAGGACAAGATCCAGTACACCTGCCCCTGGACCTACCTTGGACTTTGGACCTGTGAGTGGACTGTTGTACTCCAGCAGCTCTCCATGTGGGATGACCCAAAGATCTCCACCAACTCTGCAGGTCCATCAACCAGGTATGTCCCCTACGGGGTACAACAATGGAGGTCTTTGCACTGTTGTTCAATCTTTGTGGCAGCAAGGACCTGGATTCACCGGGCACCCTCATACCTGAAGGACAAATGTCCATCACCAAGGTTCAAAAGGCCCTGTCCTTGTGGCAAGCACATCACTTTGAGCTGAGCCTGCCCTTCCAGATGGAGGTCCTAGGTAAAGCCCCACGGCTTCATGCTCTTATTTTTCAGTGGGACACCCAGATGAAAGATCCCCTTACAATTTTGGAATGGATGTTTTCCCACAATCAACCTACAAAGACAATCATCACCCCTCAAGAACTGAGAAAAAACTTAATTAAAAGGGCTAGGGGTTGTCTCTGCTCTCTTGTGGGGTGTGAGTTCACATGCATCTTCCTACCATTGACTACTGGGTATCTGGACCATTTGCTTCGGATGGATGAGAGCCTCCAGTTCACTCTTGATAGCTACCCAGGCCAAATTTCAATCCATTTACCAAGCCATAAATTGTTTAATTTGTCTTTCAATCTGGTCTTCAAATTGTTGCAAAGTAGAAAACCTCTCAAGGCACTGACAATTTTTACTGATGGCTTGGGGTCATCCTGAAAGTCAGTGATGACTTGGAGGGATCCCAGGACACAGAAATGGGAATCTGATGTCCAAGTGGTGGAAGGATCTCCACGAATTGCTGAGTTAGTGGCCGTTGTCAGAGCTTTTGAGAAATTCCAGGAACCTTTCAATTTGGTGACAGATTCGGCCTATGTCACCAGAGTTGCTATGAAAGCAGAACATTCTTTTCTAAGAGAGGTCTCCAATCTAAATTTATACTGCTTGTTTTCTAAACTAATCTATCTTATCTCCCACAGAAAGCAACCATTTCATATTATGCATGTGAGGTCACACACTGAGCTCCCAGGTGCCATCGCGGAGGGGAACAGGAGACTGGACACCCTAGCCATGTTTTCTGAGACTACCAACCTACCAGGTATCATTGCCCAGGCAAATTTTACCACCAGAATGTACTGACATTAATAAGAATGTTCCAGTTGTCCAAAGAGCAAGCACAGTCGGTTGTCTCAACTTGCCCCAACTGTCAAAACTATCAGATACCATCTCTATGTTCCAGAGTCTACCCCTGGGGCCTAAACAGCTGCCAACTTTGGCCAACTGATGTGACGCACTTGCCATCTTTTGGGAGGTTGAAATATACCCATGTGTCAGTTGACACATTCTCAGGTGCAGTGTTTGCTTCAGCCCATGTAGGAGAAAATGCCTACCACACCATCCAGCCTTTTCTCCTTGTATTTTCCACCCTGGGAGTCCCTGAACAAATAGAAACAATGGCCCTGCTTACACCTCCCACAAACTAAAAGACTTTTTCAACCAGAGGCAGGTCAGGCACACCACAGATATGCCCTTCAATCCCTCAGAACAATCAATTGGAGAAAGGACCCATAATACTATCAAGCGGGTCCTAGATCAGCAGCAGGGAGGGACAGAGGTCATGTCTCCCATTGAGAGACTCTGTAAGGCTCTCTTTGTTATTAAACTTCTAAATAGTTCTTTTTCAGAGCCAACCCTGCCCATATTCCAGCACTTCTCAAATTCAGCCCCAGCTAAGCTCAATGAGAAGCTGCTGATGCTGATCAAAGATCCTGAAACCAGACAAATATTTGGTCCTTTCCCATTGATTACCTGGAGGAGGGGGTATGTTTGTGGGTCAACTCCATCCAGCCCCAAATGGCTCTCAGTGAAAAACATAAAGCTGTACCTGAGCCCTGCAAACAGTTCCCCCTCTGACAATAACAAAACCTCTGAGTCAGGCACAGACCTAAAGATCAAACAAGTTCCGCCTGGAGACGAAGACGTCACCACTGACCACAACTCACAGCAACTCATCCTGTCACCAGGTCTCAAACAAGACACAACCCTGAACTGGACATTGCCACAGGCCAGACATGATCTGGCCATTGCTGCTACCCACCCCTCATCATTTTGCACAAACCCTGATATGTTCCCAAACCCCACTTACCTGTATACCTACCTCCACACTTCAGTTCCTCTGTCTCTCCTGTCTTAACCCAAACTCAATCTCCTCACACCCTATACCCACCACTTTTTTACAATTTCTTTTAATAAATAAAGAAGCGGGATGTTGAAACTTAATTTTCTCACAAAGGGGATGGGATTGCTGGGTGATGCATCACAAGCTTTTATTTCAGGCACCAGTCTCAGGTGCAGATACAGGAGATTGGCACAAGCTCATGTCTACCACAAGCAGCTCCAAAATCTCTTTGTTACAGAACATTTTATAAGTCTTTCAGTCAATAGCATATTGCAAAATCTTACAGAAATTTTTTCTATACAATCAGTCGAAATGCACATACACCTTCTTCAAACAATGCTTGCTTGTTTTCTTTCTATTAACAATACACAATACTGTGTTATTAAACTTAAATCTTTCTACTATCTTGGTAAGCATATTTTTCTGCAGTCTTAAGGTCCATCTTGGCCAAGCCTAAAAACTCAACTCTGTGAAGTAAAAAATCTGTAAGATTTTTTTTTTTGATTTGCAGAAATAAAGAGTAGCTCAATACCTATAGAACAGCACTCGGAAGCTGTGTAGTCTAGCAAATGCATCCAACTTACAGTTTGAGGTTCACAAACGAATTTAATTTTATTTTATTTGTTACTAATGAATAAAATATTCAGGCTCTCATAAAACATGAGGAATGGGTTTACATTTTCCACTTGCATATACATGGACTTTTAATGTCAGTACGTATACAGTATGTGCAGAGAGAGGTAATAATGGAAAAGTCAGTATTTTTCATTTGTTGCATGAACAGTTTATGCAAAACTTTGAGGGAAATATGAACCAGCTTACATAACTATGTTTTGTTTTGGCTCTTCTTTCTCGAGTAGCTTATAATTTATTCCATTTGAAAATTGTTTTTATTGTTCTCTGTTTATGTTGTAGTTATAAGGTGTGTCTTTTAGCTTTTCTTGTTCCATCAGAAATTATATTTTATATGTTAATTTTGCATGTTAATTTCACTGTTCATTGTTTGTTCTGTGAGTTTTTTTAACCATCATCTTTTCCAGAGGCTAGTGGAACATTCTGGAAGCCATTACCCCCTTTGTGATTCTACAATGTGCTGAACAGTATTTGATTCACAATACTTTCCTCAAATAAGTGGATGCTATTATTGTATGTATTTTTAAAGACTATTGGAGTGCTTTAATGTAACTGATTTACATATAGTTCAATTAACTTAAAGTAAATCAAATTGCTCATTAGCACTAATAACTTTAAGCTTCAGAATGTATTTGAGTTGGGAAAAGTGTTTGAATACCTGGCTTAACAGCTTCAGTGTGGTATGAAATTAATTAGCATTATACATATCTTAGCTCCTTTAAAGACATATACAGATGGGATAACAAAACTAGAAAGATAAGGAGCTCTGAAAAATCTCTTTTTTAATTTACTAATTCAGAAAGATATTTTCTATTGTGAGCAACTGAATTAAAACAAGATTAGCTATTGAAGAAAAAATACACTAACCCTGAAGAAGTATTAAGAACAGAATCATAAGTTATCTGACAATGTTTTTCACTTCAGGTCAAATTATTTTATTTGTTATGAAAGTAGGAAAAGAAAGGAACTATTCTTAATGAGAGTCTTTGCTTCAGTGTAGTTAAATTATGTGATTAAAATGAAAAATATGAAAGAGATGTAGGAGTAGTAGATTTCTTTCTAACTTGATTCATTTCCTTAAGCTGCAGTTACACTTTTCATTTCTTTAAACTCATTATCAGGCTTATCTGTTTTCTTTTGAAAATAATGACCTCTAAATTCCTAGCCTCTTGGGCACTCTGTTAGTCTATGTGCTTTTTTACTTTATTTCTTGACTTACTTTGAATTT